GTCAGGAGGCTGGGATAAGGAGTCTGACGTTTATAAATGGGAAAACAGGGACACAGAGAGACTTGGCGAATTTCTTAGGGCCCTGAAGCTTCCCAGGGTTACAAAGGTCACTTTTTCACGTCCACCTCTGAGGCATGAGAACCTCCGTGAAGTGCAGCGCCTCCCTAGCACACTTCTCAGAGCGGACACCATGTCCCCATTCCTCAGGCTGTAGATGAGGGGGTTCAGATCGGGGTGAGGGTGATGTCGAACGTGAAGAGAGCCTGGCTCAGGACAGCGGTGTGGGAAGACCGAGGCCCATAATAAAGGGTGACTGCGGTCAGATGGGAGGGGCAGGTGGCCACCATGTGTCCCTCCTTGAGCTTCCACCCCATACAATAGCTGTAGGGTTCTGGACCACACAGAAGTCTTTCTGTCAGAACCTTTAGAGTCTGACACAGGACCTGGCTCTTATTTGCAGGAAAACAAATTAAGGCTTTTATAATCTTCAACTCACTTTGAGAGCTGCTGTCCTATCCTCCCCACAGCAAATAGAACTCAATAATATCCCCTTCATTACTCCCGTGTACCTTCCCTAAACTGGTGTCTTCCCACGTCCCTGACCACAGGCAACACCTGAGGAACTGGATGGTTTAGAGATCCCAGGGCTCCTGAGGCTGAAATGTCAGGGACAAACCTGGGTGTTTGCTAAGGCCCAGGTATTGATCCTCACCACAGGAGAGGAGGGAAAACACTAATTAAGGGAAGGCTTCTTTATCTATAAATTAGTGGCAACTGACATGAGGGCTCCTGGCATGTTGGTGGAGATCAGTGCTGGCTGATTACCCCATCTTTTTCCAAGAGCAAAGTGACAAGAGGGTGTTAACCGTCCCCATCTGTGTTCTAATATGCAGCATGGAGATATGCTATGCTTCTCCTTTCCTCAAATTTATGATTAATTCACTGCCCTTAGGATGCAGGCAGGATGAAGGTAAGCAGACAGCCCCCCTCCCCATGTGTCCTCTACCCTAAGGAGGAGGGGCAGGCAGGGCCTTTGCATGAAGACTTTACCCACACAGGTGCTTAGTAACATTTGCTAACTGCATTCCCACTGGTTTAGGCTTGGAGGAAAATTGCTCTTCAACCTGGTTATTGGGTAGCTGCAATGGCCCTTGGGGAGTAGAGCAGTGGGTTTCAAGTCCCTGAACACCCCAGACACAGGCTGGTGTACCAGTGGTGCTGACTCAGTCTTCTGCAGTTTTCTGTACCTTAATTCTCTGGCCCAAGTGTTGGACACAGGCCAAGGAAACCCACAGGAATATGCCTCCTGAGGCCAATGACATGCTGGAAACTACAACCTTACTGGCCAAAGTGTCTCAGCTTGTGAGGACAGAAGTCTGATTACCCTCTCCTATTTTCTAAAATCCTTTCTAGAGGGCCTCGGGGAGTCATGCCCACAAACATGAGCAGACCAGTTTGGCTCGTTGATAGCAGGACTCTTCCTACATCCTGTTGCTGGCATAGTGTCTTTGTGACATATATTTAAGCCTCCTTATCTCTGTTAAAGTACATTCTTTTGCTGATCCCTTAGCAAAACGCAGATCTTCCTTTCCAATAATGAAACTAAAAATGGTAAACTCCACCTATAACGTATAAGCCTCTGCTTCCAGATGCTCCACCTTTTTGGATCAGACTGATGGAAGAACTCTTTTCACTAAATTCCAAACCTTGTCTCTCATTTTGAAAAACCAAATGATAGGAACCCGTGTATCTGATCACCCTGAGGAAGACAGGTTTGACTTTCTCAGGGTCTGGTCACTCATATTTGTGCTTAGAAGTAAACTGCATTCATCGTTATTTTTACAGAGTTGGTTATTTCCATCAGCATTTGTGAATAAGAGAGTTGAAACAGATAATTTCCAAATCTGAATTTTCATAAATAAACCACAACCAGTCTTTTTCCCTTAGTCTTCCCCATTACCTTCTTTAGTGAGTTATTCTGAGAGATGATGTGGATGTGTCTCAATAGCCTGTAATTTATAATATTAAATTCAATGGCAAGTTTTATCCCATTGATTTCATTTTTCCTGTAGCCTCTGAGAGAAACTGTTCCACATTTATACCAGAGAAATTTGCACAGCAGCTGTTCATAACCAAAGCTTTTAAAACGTGAGACAATTGTAATCTAGAAAAGTGGCACCAGCATCTAGCCTAGGATGGACCTAGCCTAGGACACAGAACAAAGGATCGCCCTTCACTCCACCCTCAGGTGAAGTCACTCTATGATCATAGCAGAACTCAAGCTAAGAGAGTAGTGAGCATGGGTATTTACACACAGATTGTTTCTTAAAAAGATTATTTATTTATCGAGAGAGAGAGAGAGAGAGAGACATCCCCGTCAGGGTCTCATTCTGCAATCTGTCCCCAGCACTCACAGCCTTGCCAGCCAGCCAGGATCACCAGCACCTGAGTATGATCACAGCTGTCAGTTGGCCCCTCCCTTCTGAGCTGGAGGCCTCAGGCGTCCCTGCCTGTGGGGAGTGGCCAGCTGGGTTTCTGTGGGGCAGTGAAGCTGGAGGACACTTATTCTGTCATTTGGCTTTATATTATTTTTGTAGAAATAACTTATTACAGAGGCCAGCAGGTGGCATAGTGGTTTTGGAGCTGGGCTCTCACGTGGCCCACCACAGTTTGAGTCCTGGACCCAGTGGCTTGAAAATCACAGTGGGCACATGCGTGTGCATGTCCAGGGTCTCAGGAGGAGAACGGAGGAATAGGGATTGCAGCGTGGCCATCCCCCGGGGGTGATTTCTTGCTTTTCCTTTCACTGTCTCTGACAAGGTAAAGACCCTGTGGCAAAACCCGTAAACACACACGCAAGCTACCACAGCTGAGTGCGACGAGACGGGTGTGAGAGCTCATTTTGTATTAAAGTCACTAATCTAGTTACACGGTGTGACCCGGGGCCTGTCGTAAAGACTCCTGAGAGAAACCTGAAGTTGGCGGTGGGCAACGACCCTGTGACTCAGATGGAACTCTGCAGGTGCTGTGTGAACCGAGACGCCATCTGCATGTCACATGACACTTTTTTGTACCAACATTAAAGTCAAGTTTTTCTCCGGTGACCGAGAAGAACAACAGGATTGCAGCGTGGCCATCCCCCGGGGGTGATTTCTTGCTTTTCCTTTCACTGTCTCTGACAAGGCAAAGACCCTGTGGCAAAACCCGTAAACACACACGCAAGCTACCACAGCTGAGTGCGACGAGACGGGTGTGAGAGCTCATTTTGTATTAAAGTCACTAATCTAGTTACACGGTGCCTGTCGTAAAGACTCCTGAGAGAAACCTGAAGTTGGCGGTGGGCAACGACCCCGTGACTCAGATGGAACTCTGCACTGCGTCCCTCCTGCACACAGTGGCCAGCCAAACTCGCGAGCCGTTTTTCACTGACCCTGCACGTACCGCGTGTGCCTGTCGACATCCCAGCTTTCAGTACAGCGGGTGTAGAAGGAGGGCAGAGGCTGACAGCGCGAGAATTACTGTACTCTATAATAATTACGATCTTTTAAACTCTGACGAGGTCAATAGGCACAGTGGTTAGGCACTGGACTCACATGACTGACCACAGTCTGAGTCCTGGACCTGGCGGACTGAAAATCATGCTGGGCATGCGTGTGTGCGTGTGCCCAAAATCCCAGGTGGAGAATGGAGAAGAGGTTGGGGCGTGGCCATCCCCCGGGGGAGATTTCTTACTTTCCTCTCACTGTCTATCTCGCCAGCAAACACACACACTCTCTGGCAAAAACCTAATAAACAAAAAAACTGGCACCTGATTTTTATTAATGAATTACTGATTCTATTCTTTAACATTTTAATTTTTTACATTTTTGCTTTGCTTTGACTACTGGCTAATTTTGGTACTCAGTTTCTGAGGTCCAGCCTGATGTGGTACAGGACCGTGTGTCAGAAAGCCCCACTCGTCCTGGGACCAGCAGTTAGCGTAATGGCTATGTTGCTGGACTCCCATATAGTTGACCGCAGTTCGAGTCCTGGACCCGGTGGCTTAAAACTCATGCCAGGTGCGTGTGCATGCGTGCCCAAGATCCTGAGAGGAGAATGGAGGAGGATTCTGTCTCTCTGTCTTTCTCTGTCTGCAAGCGCACCTATAGCAAAAACCTCCCCAAAAAAAAAAAAAGAAAAAATTAAAAAACAAAAAAAAAAAAAAAGAGAGAAAAAGAAAAAAAAGAAAGCCCCACCTGTCCTTGCTACAGGGAGGGTCTCACGAAGCAAGTTCTCCGACTTCCACCCTGAGTGCTGAGTGCACGCCCAGGCTGCAGCCACATGGATCTGCACAGACCCGGCATGTACGCGCTGTCTGCACTGCTCCAGCCTCAGCTCACTCAACCCTCCCAGCGGTGTGAGGAGGAGATGCCGTTTCCTTCCGATTTTCAGACTGCGCGGAGGGAGCCTGGGGTCTCGTATGGCCGTGTTTGCCTGATCCGTGAGCGGGGAGGCAGAGGGAGAAGGGTGACTTGCTGGGCGCAGGGGAAAGGTGACCGCTGTGCACGACATTCCGGAATGCCAGGACAGGTGCTGGGCTGCAGGGGAGAGGAAGCTGCCTTTCGTAACTTCAGGCCCACCGGACTATTTCAATGCCGGATCAGCTGCAAGTGCGGCTTTCAGAGTACGGCCTCCTGAGTCCGCCCTGAGACGGGCTTCCCACGGCTCTTGAGCTGCTGCCGCTTCCTCCCCCCGGGTGTTCAGGAGGCGAGTCTGGGCAGACATGGTGGTCTGCGTTTTGCAGAGGAGTCCTGTGGTTTCAGGAGAGCAGGGAGAACTGGTTCTTTAGAGGGTGCTTTGAAGCCACGAATAAGTTGTTTTATCTTTTATTCCTAGTTCTGTATAACCAACGGCTTGGAGCACCCGATCTCTTACATTTCTGTGGCTCCTGACGGTCTGTCAAGGCATGGGGGCCCCTAAAGTCAACCAAGGGGGATGTGCCCACATGCGTTAGGATCGGGTCAGCAGCTGCAGAGGCTGCTCCTGTTTCTCAGGGGACACCGACTGGCAACTGTGCTCCTCAGCGCGGCTGTGACATCCCTGTTTCTCAGGCTGTAGATGAGAGGGTTCAGCATAGGGGTGAGGATGGCGTTAAACATGAAGAGAGACTGGTTTAGCCCGGGCGTCTTAGAGGAGCCGGGCCTCATGTAGACAAGGATGGCAGGGCCGAAGTAGAGGCTGACCACACCGAGGTGGGAGGAGCAGGTGGCCAGGGCCTTGTTCCTGCCCTCAGGGGAGCTCATGCGGAGGACGGTGAGGAGGATGAGGGCGTAGGAGGCTAGGATGAGGCTCAGGGGGATAAGGACCACCAGGAAGCTCGAGACCACTACCGACTTTACGTAGGCCGAAGTGTCCTCGCAGGTGAGCTTCAGGAGGGCCATGACCTCACACAGGAAGTGTGGAATCTTCCGGGGGCGACAGATGGGGAAGTGCATGGCGTAGGCCGTGTGGGCCAGGGAGGTCACCGCCCCTCCTACCCAAGACCCAAGGACCATTTGTGTGCAGGCGGTGTGGCTCATGATGGCTGGGTACCGCAGCGGGTTACAGATGGTGATGTAGCGGTCGTAGGACATGAGAGTCAGCAGGAGGCACTCGGCAATCCCCAGGGTCAAACTGAAGAAGATCTGGATCCCACAGCCGGCCTGAGAAATGGTCCTCTTCCCTGAGAAGAAGTTTGTGACCATTTTGGGGACAGAAGTTGAGATCAAAGCCAGGTCGATGAAGGACAGCTGACTGAGCAGGAAATACATGGGAGAGTGCAGCCGGGGATCCAGCCAGATGAGGAGCATGAGGGCGGCGTTGCCCACGACGGCCGCAAAGTAGACCAGAAGAATGAGGCAGATGAGGACCACCAGGTGGCTGAGCTCAGGCCAGGGCCCCAGGAGAATGAAATCGGTGAGCGTTTCATTGTTTCTCTCCATGGCTGAACGTCCTTGTCCTGAAAGCATAGGGGAAAACATCGTTCCACCTGATGGTGTGTCACCGTGCAGCTGGTCCTCCTTCCTGAGCCCCAGGACTGTCACCGTGCAGCTGGTCCTCCTTCCTGAGCCCCAGGACTGTCACCGTGCAGCTGGTCCTCCTTCCTGAGCCCCAGGGCTGCCACCGTGCAGCTGATCCCCCTTCCTGAGCCCCAGGGCTGTCACCGTGCAGCTGATCCTCCTTCCGCTGTCCCACGACTCCTCTGATACATTCATGCCATCTTTCTTTTCTGTGGTCCCTTTGGCATTCCGAATCATTTCTCAAGGTACAAGATTTTTACCAAACTTCTCTCACGAATACTAACTAAGCATACATAGCTACTGCTGCAAAGTGTAATCACTGGCATTTCCACCTTCCTGAGCCCCCTGGCTGTCACCGTGCAGCTGGTCCACCTTCCTGAGCCCCAGGGCTGTCACCGTGCAGCTGGTCCTCCTTCCTGAGCCCCAGGGCTGTCACCGTGCAGCTGGTCCTCCTTCCGCTGTCCCACGACTCCTCTGATACATTCATGCCATCTTTCTTTTCTGTGGTCCCTTTGGCATTCCGAATCATTTCTCAAGGTACAAGATTTTTACCAAACTTCTCTCACGAATACTAACTAAGCATACATAGCTACTGCTGCAAAGTGTAATCACTGGCATTTGGCAAATAAGAACACAAGTACATTTTCATGTTTTATCAACCAAAACCTCACAATCAGTTTGATGAAAGTTTATCTTATGCACTTCTGAAGTAATTCCGTCTTTTGCAGGCACGACTTCGGAAAAGCAGCTACAATCATTTTAGATTTGGAGAGGTCACTGGTTTCCCCCGTGCTGTGGAGCGGCTCCTGAAGGTGGGAGCGGAGATCTCAGTGACCTGAGGGAGAGAAGCATTTCAGGGCTGAGCAACTGAGCGTGATGCGCACTCACCCCCTCCTGCTACAGACGGGATGCCCCCATCTGTCCACAAAGTCTCCTCGCGCTGATCTTAAGTCAGCTGAGCTAGAACAGAGTGGTAAGCCGTGCTATGGATCCAGGCGGGACCACACAGGTGTGAGTGGCCAGTCCACACCCCCCAGGGTGACGTGAAGCCCACCTGGTGCTGGGTCAGGGAGCAGAGTCACGGTGGAGGAGACCACTAGAATCCAGCTTGCAAGAGGTGCCTTACTATAAATGGTAGCGTTCCTTCTGTTAGCAGAGAATTGGTTGAAACTGACACCCCAAGAAGCAAAGGCAACTTTGTGGGTCAATTTAAAACACAACCCCCACAGGTTACTGCTGAAGATTGACATTCCCGTTACCAAATGACCACATTTACCAGACTGATGGCCTTGGTCAGACCAGGCCTCCTCCCATGTCTCTCGCCCGCCTTTGTAACATGGAGTTCAATCATTCCCGCCATGCGAAGTGTCAGACCAGGCCTCCTCCCATGTCTCTCGCCTGCCTTTGTAACACGGAGTTCACTCATTCCCGCCATGCGAAGGATGGACAGACGGAAGAATTGATGGGTCGGAGGCTTCGAACCCTGCCTGGCCGACGGTGCTGACTGAGGCCCATGCGAAGCATAATGGAAAAGCTACATGGCAGGACCACTGCCTCCTGGCTCCTGTCCCAGCAGAGCTGTCTCCACTCAACGGTAGACCTGTCAGAGCCTCTCATATGTTTCTTTTCTTTCTTTTTTATTTTTTTAAAGAGATAATTTTGCTATAGGGCACATGCATTCACTGGAGAGACAGAGACAGACAGACAGAAAGTGAAGGGGCCATCTCAGGGACAATGGCCATGCCACAATCCCTTGTCCTCCATTCTCCTCTCAGGATCTTGGGCAAGCATGCACACGCGCTTGGCGTGAGTTTTAAGCTGCCGGGTCCAGGACTTGAGCCATGGGGGACTATGTGGGAATCTGGTGAAGTAACCGTTACTCCACCTGCTGGTCCCGAGGCTCTGATGTGTTTCCTACAGGGTCATCTGCACCTCTAGGATGTACTTTAAAAAGTGGCATTAGGCTTAAGAACTCCGGCTGGTGTGTGAGTGTGGTGGGGTACGGGTGGTGAGGGGGCTGGGTGTATATTTAGTCACAAAACCGACTGTGGGGGGACAGCTGTTCAGCTTACTTTAACTGTTGTGCAATGTTCCCCACTTTTAAGACACAGCTCAATCGCTTCCTCCCTCGCGGCCCTCTGTCCCTCTCCCCGTCAACGATCGTCAATCTCTCCAGGTGGACAGGGCAGTCTGCCTTCTACCACCATAATTTCTGGACAAATCTCCCACCTCTCACCCCTGTATATTCTTATATTTTCAGAAAAAAAGCTTCGGTTTTTTTTCTGGAATATTTTGAACATTCAAGACTGCTTTCTCAGATGCTTTAAGGAGGTGTGTGGTCAAAATGGTGCAACAAATGGAACTGTAAACACATGCAAACGCATGGCTCCTAGTTTATAACGCCCAAGAATTAATAACACAATATTTTATGCTCAGAGTTTCACGAGACCCCTAAAGTTATTCTGAAGTTATCTAAACTTGCCTGATGGGGAAATGAAAACACACACCTGTCCTCTCCAAAAAACAATGCTCTCTGGGTGACTCAGGCTGTGGACCACAAGTGAAGTAAATACACACCCCCGAAACGAGGAAATGGGACCTCGAGGCCAGGCGCCTGGGCCGACCACGTGCGGTGCCGCGGTGAGCGGGTGAGCCCGGCAATCCCGTGTGACACGTTCTCCGCCGTGTCCGGTCCTTCGTTGCGAATTATTTCCCTAGCAGCGAAGATCGTAGTCTGCCCGCCGGTTCTTTTCCTTCTCACAGAGTAATCTAGGAAACTGCGTTACTGGACTGTGCAGTCATCTGTTAGGTGAGCGGGAGATTGCATGTCTAGCCAAGGAAAGGCCTGAGGAAAAGCGAAGGTCTCCAGCGTGAGAGCCAGCAGTGAGGAGTCGCACCCTGGGCTCTGCCGAGCGGCGCGGCACGTAGGGCGCACCCGCCGTCTGCCAAGGAGACCGCGCCTCACCTTTGCGCTTGCCCACCCTGCCTCGTGCCTCCTACCAGCCGTCGCTTATCCGCTAACACTCTCCCTTCTTCCCTTTATCACTTTCATCCAAACTTGGGTTGTCAGAAATGCTCTGATGTGCATTTTTGCATAAAGACATAGAAAAAGGCGTCAGGGCATTTCCGACAACCCCATGTATTGTCTTCTTCCCATCCGTACACGAACTCTCCGCAAGGCTTCACTCCTGCCCTCAAACCCTCGCTCTTTTTCTATAATTCTGGTGTAGGTTCAAGGAAGGAGCCTGAGTCTCTCTGAGAGAGCTTTCGATCGGGAGTCGCGCTCCACTTCGTGAAAGATGACTGTCCCTCGGAAAACTAACGCCATCTGCGAGTGTAAGGGACTCATCTCTGCTGGCGGGTCTATTTCTTTTTAATCCATTTCAAGGAGGACCCAATATTTTGGTTTGCTTTTTACCCTATTCAATGTAAATAGAAATAATCAACACACAGTCAGACAAAGACATAGGAGCTGCTTAGCAAAGAATAAACCCTGTGTGGTCAACATTTTAAATACCTCAGTTAAGGGAATTAGGGTTACTACTTTGAATGCTATTGACAGTATCGAAAGGCATTTGTTTCCGCTTCCCTGGGGCATCATCTTAACCACAATAGTTACTGACCACTTACCAAATGCTGCTGTTGTTCAATAGTCTCCCAACGACTTCTGAGATAAGAGCAGATTTATAGAAATTAATAAGGGCACTTTGACCATGAAAGTCTGGGGCTCAGAAGGACTGGCTAATTTTCTAACAGTAAAGGAGCCTAGAGTAACCCTGGGAGGTCTGACTGGAGCCTGTACCCAGCTATATAACAACGGCTTCCAAAGTCGTGCTCTTCGGAATCAAAGACTCTTGTAAATAAATATGCAGATTTCTAAACCCCAGCTAGAAGGGGCCTAGGGTTTTGCTCTGTCTCAGAGAGTCGTTTTGCCTCTTCAGTCACCACCATCTTTTTGGTTAAATCTCATTATACGTGTGCTTTCTTGTAGTTGCTTGAAATTTTTTTTGGAGTATCACATCAAAAACGTCAGGTAGAGCCATTTTCTCCTTTCTGTTTGAATGAAAAAGAAACATGGTTTGGCAACGTCGGGCTCGCCCACCCGTGGTCGTGCTGTTTGCTAAGATGTCTTGGACCTCATGAGGCAGCTCTCCTGTGGCCTCTTCTTCAGGCCCGGGAGCATGGAGAAAGCCTGGACACTCGGCCCGCGGTGGCTGCCTGGCCCGCCAGCTCCTGCCGTCTTAGGTAGCGTCTTTGCTGTGCTTAGCTTCAGATTAAGCCTGAAAGCCTGAGGCAGAGGTGTTATCTGTGAATCTAACCCCCTTCCTCGCCCCGCTGTCCAAATGACTCTCTAACGGAAATTCTGTCAGCAGTCCTCACGCGGAACGATGCAGGAGTGGAAAGATAATCAAATGAAACCACAGCCGACCCGTCTGTGGTGTTTTGGATTTAGTGTAAGCTTTCAAATGTGTTTCATTCGGCAATAACTGTTGGACTAGATGGTCTCAACTCTGAAAGACTGGCTGATGTGATGGTGTGAATAATTTTAAAACACTTGGGATGAAGTAGTGATTATTTATGTTTTAATATGATTGATCATTATTGGATATCTTTTTAATGAATTCTATTTTTGATATTTTCATAGCACTGTGCAAGACCGGCCCACATGGTCCATGTCAGCACGTCTGGAAAGACGCTGCACGACCGCGCTCTGTCAGCACACGCCTCATTACCTAGAGGAGACAGCAGTCATGCCCTTCTCTGCCTAAGTGCCTCTAGGGTACGGTGCTCGACTCTGCGCAAGCTTTGCTGCATTCAGCCCTACAGCCCCAGAAATGTGTGCTCTCGCCACATCCCACTGCAGGTGTCAGAGTCGAAGTGCCGAGGGGTCTGCACCCGGCCGAGTCTCACAGTGCGTGCGGGTGGGGCGGACACCTCCACCCAGTTCTTCCAGAGTCTGGATGCCAAGGCCTTAACTGCCACCGCGGGTATGATGCTTTATACTCAGGAAACACCCACTTTCCCTATTGTCGCACTTTTGAGGACAAATTGTCTTAGAGAAAACTAATTCAAGTCTGAAAACCACGAAGTGGAAGCCTTACCTGGACCTTGAAGGGCACGGATGCTGTCACTGCCCGCTGGGCCTCGCCCCTGCCTCTGCTTTATCACGAGGGTGCTTACCATTGCGCGTAGTAGCTGCGATTCGTCTCGCATGTGATCGCACTTCGCTAACTGTTACCCCAATACTTTATTTCAGAAGCAGGAAAGCCCTCAGTGCCTGTTCCGACTTCTTACACCAGAGTAAGTGTTAGAGCTGGCCACCTCACAGTTTCTGTCATCCCCTTCATGGCTGTCACCTGGAAATCCGGGCGGCTCTGCCGTGGGGGGTGAGCGCCGACTCTCCTCCCCTGGATGAGAGCTAAGGCTGAGAGCGGCGGAGCGGGCGGAGCGGGCGGAGCGGGGGGGCAGACAGAGGCGCGGGCCAGCGCTCCGCCTCGGGCCCAGTCCTCTCATC